GGCCTGGAACTCAGAAATAGAGACCGGTGGTGAGTATTTTTAAAGGGAGGAAGCAGATTTTTAAATTTTTCTTTATGTAAGAACGTATATTAACGTTCTTTTATTTTTATTTTTTTTGTAGATTTCGGCCCGGAACTCAGAAATGGAGACCGGTGAGTATTTTTAAAAAGGGAAGTGGGGGTTTTTTATTTTATTTATGTAAGAACGTTTATTAACGTTCTTTTATTTCTATTTTTTTTGTAGATTTCGGCCTGGAACTCAGAAATGGAGACCGGTGAGTATTTTTAAAAAGGGAAGTGGGGGGTTTTTTATTTTATTTATGTAAGAACGTTTATTAACGTTCTTTTATTTCTATTTTTTTGTAGATTTCGGCCCAGAACTCAGAAATGGAGACCGGTGAGTATTTGGAAAAGTAGGGGTTTTTTTTGTTTTCTTTATGCAAGAACGTTTATTAACGTTCCTTTACTTCTTTTATTGTAGATTTTAGCCCGGAACTTGAAAATGGAGACCGGTGAGTATTTCTAAATGTTTTTTTATATTTCTTCATGTAAGAACGTTTATTAACGTTCTTTTACTACCTTTTTTTTGTAGATTTTAGCCCAGAACTCGGAAATGGTGACCAGTGGTGAGTATTTTTAAAGGGAGGAAGCGGATTTTTTTAATTTTTCTTTATGTAAGAACGTTTATTAACGTTCCTTTACTTCTTTTTTTTTGTAGATTTTAGCCCAGAACTTGGAAATGGAGACCGGTGAGTATTTCTAAAAGAGGAAGTTATTTTTTTATATTTCTTCATGTAAGGACGTTAATAATGTTACCTTTCTTTTTTTTTATCATTTTTATTAGGGACATGGATTCTTGGATAATAATACAAACTGTAAGTTGAGTGGATGAAGGAGATTCTAAATAATTGTGATATTATGAAAAATCAGTGATTTAAATTGTTGACTGGTATATGTATGATAGGCTACCGATAGGTACCCGATATATGACTAATTGGTATATTTAAGTAGGGTTTTGTATTATTTAAAGTAATAAAGAGTTTAACTTGCAGTGTAATTCTAGTATAAATAGTATAAATGCATTTTATTAATTATAATAATCCGGATTGATATGTTGGGGTTAAAATCCATGGCCCAATCAGAATTTGTTGTTGTAATCAGGCGATTGATCACATGATTTCAGTATTTATATTTCGCACTTTGTTTATTTTTTTTTTTTCCTTTCGTAAAAACCTTTCTCTTAAACTTTTTATTTAAAACAAACTCTTTACTTAGTTATTATGAAATAATATTATTATTATATTTTTTTATTTATTTTTATATTAAAAATAAACATAAAGGTATATTTTTATTATGCTTGTTTTTTCTTTTATATATACATTTTCTATTGACGTTCTAATACTTTTTTTCTTTTCTCTCACTAATGTTTTCTACCACTTATTAACATTTTCTATTAATATTAAATACTACTAACATGTTTTTATTAACATTCTCATATTAATATTTTCTATTTTACTAACTTTTCTTTCTTCCTACTAACATTTTTACTAATATTTTCTATATTTACCACTAACGTTTTTATTAAAATTTCTATTTTTATTTCTCTTATTAATTAATATACTTACTAATATTTTCACTAATATTTCTTTTAAATGTTAAACAGATAATTTTATTATCATTGTTACTTTTAGTAGAACTTTACATATTACATAGTATAATTATTTATTTTTAATGTTCAACTTTATTTGATTTTACGTATGTAGTAGATAGAGTAAGATTTGTATTATTGTTTAAATTTTAATAAAGTTGAATTTCATTTTATCTGAATTAAAATAAAAAAAAGAGATATATGTCTATTGGTTTTATATGAAATTTATAGCTACTAACTGATGTATTACAAATATTTTACTACCCGATATATGTGTGTTAAATATATGATATTTATAATATATATCACTGATATTTGACTACCCGATATGTATAAGATATATACGNTAATATATATCACTGATATTTGACTACCCGATATGTATAAGATATATACGTGATGTTTACAAGATATGTCACCGATATTTGACTACCCGATATGTATAAGATATATACATGATGTTTACAAGATATGTCACCGATATTTGACTACCCGATATGTGTAAGATGTATACATGATGTTTACAGTATATGTCACCGATTTTCTACATTTCTACTACACATATCGGGTACCTGATATGTGTGGTATTGTTAAATATCATACACATATATCACATATATTATACACATATCAGGTACCTGATATGTACCCGATAGTATTGATTTTGACCAGTGATAGTATATATAGTATATATAATATATATAGCATATGTAGCATAAATTTAATATGTTAGATATTATTTTTCTTAGTAAAAATTTGTTATAAAAAGACAGTGTAAATGCGCATTATAAAAAAGTAGTTCTTTAGAACAGTTCTTAAAAATCTTTAATAAAATTAATTAAAACCCATATACCCTTTATTTTCGTGTTGTTATTTCTTATACACTTTATTTTTATTCATTGTCTGTATTTGGTTAGTTTAATCCCTTACTTGCGTCTGATCGTATAGGCTATTTGGAGAGCTATACCATATTCGCATTTGATCGGATTTTTGTTAAGATTTACATTGAATTAATTGAATTAGTATAAGATCTACGCTGATCCTATTAATTACTGACCCTACCGATCCTTCTGCTTACACTAAATATACCGCTTATTTTTAAGCACATAAGAACTGACTCATAACACTATTGCTTGAATTTAATCTACTGTTAATTATGTGAAAAATAAAGAAGCCCTGCTTTAGCAACTTCAGAATGGCTGCTACGTTTAACTCACATGAATATATTCAAAATAGCAGTCGTCTATTACTTTCAGTTAATTATTAATTTACTTTTAATCTACTTAATCTTTTTTAATCACAATCAATTAATCAGAAGCCACGGAATGACGTAGTTACTTTATGTTCATGTTTATTAGTCAATTGCCTTTATGTGAAGTGATTCTATGAAGAAATATATATTAATACTCTAATCAATTGCCTTTCAAACGAACCAAAAGAAAAGTTAATTAAAAATGGAATGCTTTTCTCAACATATTTAATTCTTTATTTTTTTCATCTTTATTTTTTCTTTATTTTTTTTTTTATTTTTGATACTATTCCGTTTCCTTTATTTTTTTATTACTTTTTTTTTTTATTTTGCCAATTTTCATTTCTCTTTATTTCATTTATTTTTTCCCCGCTTCATTTGTTTCACGATTAACTTATCATTCTTTAACAGCTTACTTTATCTTAATACTCATTCAATTGCGAATTTTATATTATATACTTTGGCATCTGATATGGATTTTTTATATTACAGTTTATAGTTTACAGAGTTTGAAAACAATTAATTATGAATTATTATTATATTATCATAATTAACTTCAAATCAATTATATAAATTGAGTTCAAGGCTTGTACATATTTATGTATATACATGATAAATCGGTAAAAGTATTTAAAGAGAAAGTCTTGTAATAATTAACACTATAAATTTCGCTACCATAAATAAAGCAATTTTTTACATGATAGATAATATGATCGTCCAATTGTAACGAAATTTCGATTGTAAAGATAGTGTAACCTGTGTCACATGGTTGAAATAAAAATAATAATATCGACAAAAATCAATATTTTAGTACAATCTAGTTAATTTAATATTATTGGTGCATAATACTATCAATACTGACTAAAAAAAGATAAATTATAATTTTATGCGAAATTTTTATTTGGTTTCATGCTTATGCTGATCATTTGTAGCACGTACTGTGTTTTATTTTTATCATTAGGTTATACTATTTTTAGTAATGTCACACATGTTGCACAAGAGTTTATTTTGTGAATAAATTTATCCGTAATCCGTTAATTCTTTTTTTTTTTCAAAAAAAATTTTTTTACGTTTCATTCTATTATATGGTTAATGTTATCTTTGAATTTAAATAAATAAATTGTAACATATATATTTTTAGTACAATAAAAATTAATTTAGTATGGAAATATCAAAAATGAATCCTACAGAAAATAAGAAAAATTTATGGAAATATGTTGATGAAGACAAATATCAGGTAAAATAATTTATTTTATCATTAATAACATTACATTATTGAATTTTATAATTTGGATGATAATAGTTTTTTAATCATTTATTTTTAAAAGAGACATGTTACAATTTCTACTATTGATTCAACTACTGAATCATCAGAAGAGGCAGATGATAAAATAGTTTATATGGAAGATTTAGAAAAAAGAAAACAAGTATATGGAATATGTGGAGAATGTAATGAACCTGGCACAGGAGAAGATTGGTGTCAACCTTGTAATGCTAAAAGATTTAAGGATAACTTTAAAAATTGGTCTAGTGGAAACAAAGAAGTTGATGAATTTATACAACAATCACAACTTAATGCTGTACATTATAAAAAATGTCTTGAATGGATACCTTTTGAAAAATTTCAAAATGTCACTTATATTGCAGAAGGTGGTTTTAGTAAGGTTTATTCAGCAGAATGGCCTGAAGGACATATTAAATATTGGGATATTGAAAATCAAAAGTGGTATAGATTTATTTATAAATATGCATTAAAAAGGTTGAATAATTCCCTTGATATAAGTTTAGATTTTTTAAATGAGGTAATTTAATCTTACTTTATCTTATATATAAGGATTGTTATTTGCATTTATTTATTAATACAATTTTCCTTTTTGATGATAATTAGATTAAATCTCATCTTCAGATTTATCTTAATGATATTGTTCAATGTTATGGAATAACTCAAGATCCAGAAACTAACGAATATATGATGGTTTTACAATACTGTGAAGGTGGAAATTTTAGAAATAACTATATAAATAAAGAATTAGGCTATTATTCAAAAATCGATAAATTACGACAAATTGCAAGTGGACTTCTAGATATTCATAATTCTGGAAAGGTTCATAAAGATTTTCATTCAGGCAATATATTGTATATTGGTGATTTACCATATATAAGTGATTTTGGAATGTGTCAACCAGCAAATATAAAGCAATCAGTTAATCAAAAAAGTGTTTATGGAGTATTACCTTATATGGCACCAGAAGTTTTACGTGGATATCAATATACAAAAGCATCTGATATTTATTCATTTGGAATTATGATGAATGAATATATATCTGAAGAAACTCCTTATAATAATATAGCTCATGATAATGGTTTAGCTATTAAAATATGTGAAGGACTTAAACCAAGTATTTTTAAGTATACACCAAAATTACTTGCAGATTTGATTACTAAATGTTGGGATGCTGAAGAAATAAATAGACCAACTGCTAAAGAATTATATCAAACATTAAATGAATGGAATAATGATGAGTATGAAGATAGTGATCAAGTAAATGAATATAATGATAAAATCAAATTAAACAGAACAAGTGAAAAAAGATATAATAATATTCCAAAACATCCACAAGCAATCTATACTAGTAGACTTTTAGATTTCAAAAATCTTCCAGAACCAGCAAATTCAGGTAATCTAATTTACTTTAATAACAAAAAAAGATATATTACATTACTAATTATTTGTTTTTTTAATTGGTGCTATTCAATCAGCATTTCGTAAGTAATTATATTTATTGATAATTAACATAATTGATGATATTCATATTTTTTTAATATTACATTTATTTTTTAAAAGTTACAGAATGTTTGGATATCCAATTTGATGAATTCGGTAAGATATTTACTTTTTTTTATTTTATAATGTGTTATTTTATTTATTTGTTTGTTTGTTTTATAGATTTTGATAAAGGTGAAATTAGTATAAAAAATTTTAATGATTAATTATAGTTTTCATGTATGTTATTTTATATTTAAATAAATTCTAAATTGTTACATAGAAATATGAAGTGGCTTGAATATTAAATTATACCTAATAAAATAAAATATAATAAAAAAGTTTGATATAATCTGAAATATAATACATTTTATTTTATCAAATAATTATTATAAAATAAATAATTAGCCTAGGTTATATAAATTGTATATCAATTGACTTTTTTATTAATTCCACTAACTTAATAATAGTAAATTATAATGGAAACAGATTATAATGATTATCATGCTTCGAAACAAGTATACAAGCATTTATTTTTAATAAATCAAATAAAGAATTATTTTAGTATAGTTATAAACTAATATAACATGACAATTGCAAAACCAAAATATTTGATATTGCAATATGATATGAATTTATTTTGTATTGTTTCCAACTAACTAATTTTGAACTAAATGAATTCTTAAAATTTTTTGTTTAATTATTCCTTGATTTAAGTATTATACAATGAAATATAATTTTATCTCAAATATCAATTTATATCAGATAATAACTGACGTACGTAAAGGTAATGAACCTTTTAATAGATATGGTGAGATTGCCTTATAATTTTTTTTTTAAAGATAAATTTAACGTTAGATGAAAATGTGGCGCAGCATCAAAGATAGTTCAAAGATAAGATAATTCTGTGAAAGTCAAATTATTCATTACCAATTTACCACAATAAAATTATAAAATATTTAAAGCAAAAATGAATAAAAATCTTTTTTTATTTTTCTAATAATAATAAGATAATGTACATTAATATTATCATGATGGGGACAATAATAAACGCATATTTCTAGTTCTTGGAAATAATAAAGCTTTAAATAGGAAAAAAAATTGAAAAAGGAATCTAAAAATTTCATTGAACCAATTAAACTTATAGGATAAACTTTTTTAGTAACTGAAGTTCATTCCATTTATTGGCGGAAAAGTTAAGAAGATATTGAAACGTAAATTTGTTAAAGAAGTATTGAGATTGAAATTATGATAGACACGAGTACACATGTGGTATCAATGTTGCAAATGCTCGATTTATTTAAGACTAATAACTGATAAAGATATTTTCGGTGGAAGAAACTGATACTGTAAAACTAAAATATTATTCACGTGTGCTTAAATCTCCATTCATTTTATAATAAACTTTTTAATAGTATAAAAGAGTAATGTTATAGTAATTTTATAACAAAGAAATATTTTTTTAACTAAAAACTATTTACTAAATCAGTTAAAACAATTCAATTCATATTGATCAAAATTGTAGTTAAAGTAGTAAATTAGAACGAATTCAGAATTACCTCGTCAATATTTTCAATTAACTAATAAAATTTTTATTACTAACTCTGTAAAAAAAAGTCGATCCGTTTTTTACATTCCATCTTTTTTCCGTAAAAGGCTCATATTTCCGGAATAAATAACCTTATATCACGGAATTTATCAAATTATTTACATTTCCGTGAATTAATCCGTGAATAACGGATAAAATTTTTTATAGGGTAAAATACAAAATATATAATTTTCATTATTACTATGCTTAAATAATAATTATTAACCAGTATTACCGTTTTATTTAGTTTATAATAATATTTTTCGAATAAATAAATTATACTAAATACATATGAATCGTGAAGAATATAAATTAATCAATCTTTCATAATTTGAAATACTTCAAATTCTTCTACGGAAAATAAAGCAATTTCTCTAATCGATTCATAATAAATTGGTTCTCGCACACTCCCTCTATTACTTTTGCCTATAAACATTCTAATAAACAAGTTAAGTTCACCAGCACCGAATACTGGGCCAAAATTAGGGTAATTATATATGGCATATTTTTCATCCTTTACTCGACTTAAAATATTTTCTTCGACATTTTCTTTATTCTTAAAAGAAAATATAAAACTATCTTAGTGGTGCCATAACTAACATCAGATTTCCATATGATCGGATTATATCCTCCAAGAATTTCATTACTATCTTTCACTTTAACAATTGATATAGTATGAGATTTATAATCACAAACTTCATGGAATTTACTAGCTGAGAATCCATCCCGGGTTCCACGAAAAATTAACTTGAATTCATATAAATTTTTCATCTCGTCAGTATTTTCTAATCTATCGATCCATTTTGAAATTAATTCAGTATGTTGAAATGTAATAATTCTTGAATCAATACTTTTTGAACTAATTTCCTTGGTTGTTATCATTGTTTCTGATCGATCTATAAAGTGTTTAATTAAATTTTCACGTAAATCTTTTGGTATGATTTTTTTATACGGATAAACTTTGTTTAAAAAATACTTTACAACAATTTATTCCTTTTATTAAATTCTTTAATTTAAATCATAAAGAATTTTTAAAGTATTAAAATCATCCTTTGAATAACTTGAAGGGCCTGAAGAAAGTCCAGGATTTTGAGCAATTCCCCATTTAAGTACATGTTCCCAAATTTGAATAACATTCATTTGTAAGTTATCATGTTGGATAAGAGAAATTAAAGATTTTTCTGAAAGTGAAATAAAATCAATTGAATTAAAAATTTTTTCAGGTTCGTTGGATATTAATTCCGTACAAAAATTTTGTAATTTCAAGAAAGAATCGTTTTCAAAGCTTGTTTTATATATTAAATTGAAATTTTTTTCCATCCAATTTTTTTTATTTTCAATCAAGAATGATTGTAAATGAGTGATTAATTCTTGAAGACTAAGTTCATTGGCAGCAATCAAGATTTTAATAATATCCGAACTATCATATTCCTCTAAAAAAAGTCTTCCCCCATAAATATATCTAAAATAAAAATATTTGAATATTATCCGTAAGAATTAAATAAATTCATATTTAAAAAAATGGTATAATTTATTATTTCAAATTTCCTACCTTAAAATCATTTGAAAAATTTCAGGAAAAATATTTGGTAATTTAATATGTACCAAGATTCCATCATCATTCTTTTTATTATTAGCGTTAGTTGATAAAATTCTTCGCAAATAGGGAGAGCGATAATTTAAAATTATCATATGAGAGCGAAAAATCTTTACATAAGGATCATTACCAACTTCAATAGTTACATCATAAAATTCATTATCTTCTAGAATTTCAAGTAAATTTTGAGATAATTTTGGTAAAAATTTATCATACATTATAACTGACTTTCGATTTTCAAAGAAAAAGAAATGTAATATTGTCCAAAATTTCCCGAATGAATATCCTTATATGTAAATTCGGAAAATCTTCGGTCCGATAAACACGAAACACCTGACTCGTTCATGTGATTTACAAAATAGCCACAATTAAATTGCTTTTGGATAATCGACTGATCGACTGAGGACAAAGAGATCAATTAATTGATTAAATCAAAATTTTATTACTAAAGATAATTTTAAATTATCAATATAAATTTTTATGATGCCATATAACGGTTCGCATGCGACGATGGTTAGCAAATTTTTGATATACAGTGATTTTTTATTATTTCGAAAATCTTTTATCCATTTTTTTTAATGTTACCTTTCATATAATGGTTTACGTAGTTAGTTACTGCTTCTTTTCTGTTTTTCTTGTATTTCTTTCTTTGTTCTTTTTTTTGCAAATTTTGTTCCATATTACTTTCCGTCTTCACCTTTTAATATATTTTGATTCCTTGTTAGCTGGTATTAAGAATTTTTCATTGCCACGCCTTTAATTATATTGTTCCAAGTTTTCTGGACTTGATATTTGATAAGCATTTAACGATGTTTGAAAAGTAAATCATGTGGTAAAACTAAATTTACGTGATTAATTAAAAAATCAGTATGATCAAAAAAATTTTTATTATTAATTTTGCATTAGTTATTTAAAATTCTCTAATATGAAATTCAGAATTTTGTGATACCCACTTTCCAAAACTCATAAATCATTCATATGAAAATTTTCATTATAATTGAAATATACTGATTTAAAAGTCTTTTCTGGTTTATTGAATAGTAAATCTCTCTTTTTGAAAATGTGGCACGTAAACTATTTACGTTATTGAAAAATATTGTAAATTTGTACATCAATAATATAACTAATATAATACATATCATTCTCATACCAGCAAACGCTAATTTCTTTCTATTGAATTCATTACTTTTAATATTAAAGTTGGAAGTAGTAACAATAAGTGGAATTGATAAATTCAATGAAGAAAATCCAACAAAAATTCTCGATATTATACAATTTATCTTACAAGAGAAGCGAATTCGTAAAAAAATAATTTTTATCTATTACACATCTATTTAAATTATTATTTACAAAATTATTTACATATGAGAGCACAAATAGATTACAACATAATTATTTAATTAATTTCAGTATGTCAGCCAAATATTTGGATCTTTATTTTACTATTTTGGTTTCACAATTTTGGTTTCTCACAATTTTGGTTTGTGAGCAAAAAAAATATTCTTAACAAAATTATGTGATTCAAAAAAAATATATTACACTTTTTTTTATTTTTTTAATAAATCTAGATTAAATTTTGATATATATCAATGTTACTCAATTTTGATCGAGCCAACATAATTATTAATTCGAACGATTGACTTGATTAAATTCCTATTTTAAAATATCAGGAATGTTCTTTATAAATAAAGTTTATTATTTGCCCAAAAATAATAAGCAACCTTTTTATTATAGGGTTGCTTATACAAATATTTTGTTCGAAACATACAGCTTTTTTTTTATTAAGCCGCGTCAAATTTTCATATTATGATCATCTAATTTATTGCACAAAGGTTGTACAATGTGATCATAATCACCTTACACGAAACCTGCTTAATTTTCCCAAAGACAAATCAAGGTGTTAAGTATAAAGTTAAACGAACTTCATATACTATTGAGTTTAAGAGAGAAGTCATCAATTACGCTAATAAACATGGCAAAAGTGTAGCGGCAAACCACTTTAATCTTAATATTAGTATGATCAGATGTTGGGTCCAAATGAGCGTGAGCTGCTGGACAACCGAAACAAATGGCAAAAAAAAACAAAATTGGTTCGTTCTGGTCTATATCCTGAAGGCTGAAGCTGAAAAAGTATTGTATAACTGGATTATTGAACAGTGAAAATAGGGACTGACCGTAATACAAGAAATGAGCGATATCTTTAATATGGATGAGACGCCTGTTTGGTAACTTTACAGTCAATCAAAAAGTGAGAATGGTACATATACGAGGAACAGGCAATAAAAAATATCGGTTTATGTGTGCTGCTGGTAAGTTTGTGAAATTACTTTGTCTCAGTTTAGAACTTCTATAGATTTTAGTAGGTTCTGCAAAATTGCAAATTTTAAATTCAGATTAGATTTGGATTGTATAAAAAAGTAGCCCACTAAAACTTTAATTTATTTAATAAGATGGGTCCAAATTACCTCCAATTTGCTTCAATAGAAAAAAATTGACACACGCTGAAAAAGAAAAATTCCTTATTTCTCGAGTTTAAGAAGCTGTTTATTAATGATGCATAAATTTAACAAATAAACTTTAAGAGTCTAAGTAATAATAAAGAATTTCTACATTTTACTTGGCTTAATCGCTCCAGTACCTATAGGTGCCGTCGAAATTCCCTAATTACGGCATTACGGCATTACGGCATATGTCGTAAATAATGCCGTAACCGTAATAAAATGCCGTAATTAATTATGATCACGTGACTTGAATAATACCAAATGATCGGCAAAAAGATCTCCTTTTTTAGAACCTTGTGTAACCTTGTGTAACCCATTTCTTTGATTTATTGAGGGACAAGATTTCCTTTTTTGGAAATTGGTGTAACGTCACGTGATATAACGCTAAAAAAGTTGACCGGGCATTACGAACGGCTGAAATTAAGTTTAGTCTTATTTATTTACGGCATATTACACTACGGCATTACGGCGTCAAGTTAAATTACGGCATTACGGCATTACGGCAATTACGGTTTACGGTTTTTAATTACGGTGATTACGGCACGTGCCGTAACCGTAATAATAATTTCGGCGGCAACTATACCAGTACCTTCTTTTCATTACTATAAAATAAACAATCAATCTATTAGAGATTTGAAAAAGTAAAATGAACCAAAGCAAGAATAACAGAAACTGCCGAAGAACGTGAATTTATTTCACTGTATCATCACGTGTGTCTTCCGGATAATAAACCCTTATATGTTATGCAACCAATTATTACAAAAAATAATAATAAAATAAAAATATCAAGAAATTTTATAAATAAAGGTATTTACTTTCTAATAAATTCACGGCAATTTCACAACTATTCTAAAATTGGGAATTTGACTTATCATAATTTACGCAAATTAAATTTATTGAATTCATGTCTAATTTTCTATTATACTTTTGTTTTTCTTTTTTATACAAATAATCGATTCTTTGTCAAAGTTCTAGTTCTTTATACAGTATGTATATGTTCTGATAAATAATAATATTTTTTTCTTATGATGCTGTCTCTTATACACATCTAGATGTGTATAAGAGACAGGTATGTATATGTTCTGATAAATAATAATATTTTTTTCTTATGATGTGTATCATTAAACGCGTTACACAAAGTTAATTGACGTAAGTTGTGCGACATATCGGAATTACCATTCCGAAAAATTATATAATTTGCCCAGTACTGCATAGTAATAATTTGTCATACACTTATACATCATTTTTTTCTCTCTTTGCTTACAATATGTCATGTTCAAAAATATTTTCAGGAGAATTACCTGAATTAATATATGAAATTATAAAATATTTTCAGAATGATTTTTCAACTTTACACTCATGTATTTTGGTTAATAGATTATGGTGTCGTTTAGCGATTCCATTATTATGGGAAAACCATTCTCAATTTCTACCGGAAATTATAACTTCATTGAAATTTACTTATATAATTTAAATTTAAATGATGATCTAAAAACTGAATTAAATAAATACGACATTGATAAATTATTACCTTCTAATACACTTTTCAACTACCCTAGTTTTATAAAATATTTGAATACACAGGACTTTATTTCTTCTGTTGGAAGGTGGGCTAAAGCATATTTAAATTTAAATAAAAAATTAGTTATTATATCATTATTTAAAATATTTATTGAAAATGACGTAAATTTACATACTCTTGAAATTGAGTTAACTCATCTTGGTTATCTTTCTTATTTTAATAATGGTATTCTTGAGTTAATTTTACAAAATACGAACTTCATTCACAATATTAAATTTTTAAAACTATATAATGGTAAAACCCCTGGTTTCTTATATATCAACAATAATCCTAATGAGGACAAGTTAACTAAAGATCGCATATCGCAAATAATTAATTTACATCGAAATCTTAAAAAAATTGTATTAGATCACACCAATTTTCCTTCATATCAACCATTATTGTTATCCAAATTAATTATGCCCTTAAAATTGATGGAATATAATGTAATAGTATTTAAAGTATTTGAACAATTAGAACCTTTAGATAAGTTATTTGAACAATTAAATGTTTTGGAATCTGTTCATATTTTTCATTGTTATCCTATAAATACTAGTTTTATTCAACAAATTATTAATTTAACTAGACCATTTAAATTAAAATCTTTATTTATAAATGATAGATCACAAATTGATCAATCATTACAATTATTATTACAAAAATATGGTGCTTATTTAGAGAATCTTGGTTGCGGATTTAGATCTAATCATGATCCAATATCAAAAAAATTAATTAAATCAATTATAAAATATTGTAAAAATATCAAATTACTTGATTTACATGATTATAATAATCAAATTATTTATCCAACATTAAATTTAATTGAAAATATTAAACAAAATCTTAATTATCTTACTATTAATATCTTTGAACCAGTAGTATTAAGAAATATTATTGATTATAACAAATATAGTTCAATCATATTGCAAAATTTAGGACAAATTCTTCCTTCTAAATTAGAATATTTAAGTTTAACTCTTCACATTAAAGCAGGTAATTTTAAATTATTTTTAGAAAGTTCTAAAAATACTATTATTAAGAAATTGTTAATAAATAATGAGGATGGTGATGATATTTTACCCTATATAAAAAAATATATTATGAAAAAGAAAAGAGTCAGGTATTTGGCTATTAAGAATTCTTTTCATAAAAATGCATTATTTCATAATAAGGATTTGTTTTATTTGAAAGATGAAGTGGAGGAATTTGGGTCATATAACATCAAATTGCAAAATTATAATGATTCAATCATGGGAGTTTATAATTATATAAAAGAAACTTACTAGTAATTTGTAGTAATTTAAAAGTATTATATATGAACATTATTATAAATAAAATTGTTTTATAAATTTTCTTATTCTAAAAACATATGTTTATTTGTTATTTTTTGTAGTTTATTGAGAAATTTTTATTATCTGAAAATTTAATATGAACAAAAGCAAACAATATAATGGGTCTGATCTAGAAAAATCAAGGTAAGAGAATTTTTTAGATAAAATTTAAAAGTTATTGTATTTTAATCTAGTCATATCAAAAAATATAATGCAATAAAAATCTCAATTTTGAAAAAAATTCTTTAACCTTGATCTTAGATCAGGCCCAATTATGCAAATTAAGACTAATAAATACATGTATAATTATTATATTTTGTAATTCTTTATTAAAAAATAAATGAAATTCTTCATTTACTGGAAAAAATATATTAAACCAGGCGATATGTTTCAAAAATCGTATAAGGTTAAACAAGAAGACTTAGCAATATATAGTCATCAGATTAATTCGTAGTAATGGATGTATAGATTTTAGTATTTGGAGATAGGTCATGGGATTGAATAGTAGAAAAGTCCACCGCACAATATTTATATTATCATATACAGACCATACTTTACATTAAGTTTATGATTATTTAATTATAAACTCATTCCTATTATTTTTATCTTATACTCTTTTTATATCAAACTAGAGGCGGTGACTTCGTCACCGCTAATTGATCTGTTTAAATTGAAATGTATAATATACTGTAAATAGTATAATAATGTATAATAGTGTAATATTAATTTTATTATTGTTATGAACTTATTTATAAAAGAGATAACAAATAGGTTAGAGATAATTGCAGTGTAATAGACCTTAAAGAAAATACTTCAATTGACATATGAAATCTATTGGATCAAAGATTTTATAAGGTATTATAATGGATGAAAATATATTCATTATTTTATTTTTAAAAATTTTAAATTATTTGTTGCCATTGTAAAAAAATTTTGTTTATTAATTAATCATTTTATTTATATTAATAAAATAAATAAATAAACTTTTGTCTATTCTTACATTTTATTTTTATTTTAATAAATAAATAAAATATGAAATAATTTTGGATAAAAAACCAAAATTTTTATCTAAAAAATAAATAAAAAAACCAGGATTTTTTTATCTAAAAAGCATTTTTTTTTTTTTTTGATATCTGAAATATTTTATCTAAAAGAGCAATAAAATTTGATTGATTAGTAATAATAAAAAAATAAAAAAAATGAAAAATAATGATAATTAAAATATCACCTACTCGTAGCTTCCACAATCATAATTAGTTCCCTTCGCTTGAAGCCCTAAGATTGGACCTAAAGTAAGAAAAATAATTCTTCCCTTATTTTTAAAGTAAAAAATAAATAAATATAAACTAACAATTAAAAATTACTATTATCATAGAATTGCCCATTTGACCTTGCTATTTTGAGCTAGTATAATTTAGTTTTTCCGAAATTGATTATATTATTAATTATAATAATTATTACTAAATAACAATAATTAGAAAAAATATAGTAAATCTACAGTTATGTAAACAACCTTTATTTAAGATAAAAAAATTTTACTTCTCTACTAAATCTTAATTATTTAATAATTATATAAGTAAAATATATTATGATAAAAATCAAAATAGAAATCAATATAAAAATCAATATAAAGATTGAAAAAATAAACATTGGTTAAAAAAAATAATTTGCCGTAACATGTCAATCTGATCATTTTTTTGATCCAAAATAATTTACACTCATTAATAATAAATAATATTTAAATATGATATAAAAAAAATCAAGCGCGCTCTTAGCCCGGCCGCTGGATAGTAAATGACAAAGAGGCAATAGGATTTATAAATTAAAAATCAAGTCTTTATAAAAACTTAGATCTAATAATATAAAAAGGAAGTGAAAAATTCGAAAGAGAATTAAATAAATATTGATATTATAAAGGAAAGACAAGGAAAAAAAACTAAAAAAAGCTGAGAAAACTAAGGAAGGCAAAAAAATGAAAAAGTAAAATATATTTCACTGTCAATATATTTTTTCGTATTTCTCTATTAGTTTCTCTTGTTAGTTATTAAAAAGGATATTCTAATTATTTAAATTTGGAGCCAGAAAGTAATCCATCGGACTTTACATATCGGTCGCAGATTTAGCTTGGCTATTATACAAAGAGGTTGTAAAGAAATTATGCAAAATATATTGAATAATAAATAATTTATTTAAAACACCAGTTTGGTTTTGCTAAGTCTTGAAATTTCGGCCAAATGAATCACCATCATAAATTATGAAGATATGTGGCATTATATATAATCAACTATAAAATTTTTGAATAATACTATTTGCTTTGATTCCATTAATTAAAGCTACAATAAATCCTTTATAGCGATTTCAACACCATATTTGCATGTTTGCAAATTATTTTGCGCTACAGCACTTTTGGCTGCTCTTTGGAACCATTGAGTTGCAATATCCTGGTTTTTTCCTGTTCCACAACCATGTTTATAACAATATCCCACATTATTTTGTCCCATTTTATACCCTTGTTCAGCCGATATTAAATACCACTCAAATGCTTTTTTCTCATCCTTATCTGTCCCTTTACCATATTTGTAACAATCTCCTAAATTATTTTGTGCTACAGTATTATTATATTCAGCTGCTTTTGTGTACCATTCAAATGCTTTTATTTCATTCTTGTCAGTTCCTTTGCCATTTTCATAGCAATATCCTAAATTATATTGTCCATCATTACATCCTTTAATAGCTGATTTTGTATACCATTCAAATGCTTTTGTTTCATCCTTATCTATTCCTATCCCATGGTCATAACAATATCCCACATTATTTTGACTCATTGCATCTCCATTTTTAGCTGATTTTAAATACCATTTAAATGCTTTTGTTTCATTCTTATCTATTCCATAACCTTTTAGATAACAATATCCTATGTAACTTTGACTCTTTACATCTTTTTCTGCTGATTTTAAATACCATTTAAACGCTTCTATTTCATTCTTGTCCGTTCCTTTACCACATTCATAACAAGATCCACACAAATTTGACTCTTTACATATCCATTTTTAGCTGATTTTAAATACCATTTAAATGACCTTATTATATTTTTTTTCGCTCCTTTTCCAGATTGAAAATGACATCCTACCCTATATTGTGCTACCCTATATTGTGCTATTGAATTATTTGATATCGCAGATTCTAAATCATTTTTAAATATACGCCTCAACCTACTTCTAACAGTAGATTTATATGGTTGAATAGCAGATTCTAAAAACAAGTCAAATGCTTTTTCTTTATCTTTTTGTGTGCCTATTCCATCCATATAACAAATTGCCAAATTATATTTTGCATCTAAATTTTTTTTTTCAGCCAAACTTAAAAGTAATTCAAAAACTTTTTTATAATCAACATTTCCATCTTTTCTACAAATTGTTAAATTAAATTGTACTTCTAATTCACTATTTCCGTCTAATTTTAGAAGAAACACTAATTTATTTTGTTCAAAATCAGTAACAGATAAAATATTATTAATAAAATCTTTATAATAAAATAATGATAATAAATATTTTCCAATAATCGTGTTACTATTTCTTAACAAACTGAATACACCATTATTTTTTACAATCAAAGGTAATTGATTCTTATTTATTATATCTAAAGAATCATAATTAATATTATTATTGATAGCAATTAAATAACAATCCAACGCCTTTTCCCTATTAAGATTACAACCAATACCAAATTGATAAAAATATCCTATTAAACTTGTAAACCAAGATTTATTTTCTTTATGATTTTCCATTATTTTGAGAAATATTTCAGGATCTTTATCATTACTTTCAAGGGAAGTTTTTATCCAATTAGTCGAAATCTTTTCAAAATTTTCAAAGTCATATGATTTAATAATGTTATTACGAAATTTTATTATAAGATTCTTTAAATAATTTTCATCATCTATAGAAATATTGATATCTATAATTTTGTTGGACGACATTGTTGGTTTTCTTGTTTAAATTTTTTTTTTTTTAAAAAAAAAAAATTATGTTGGAGTCTAACGTTAACAATTCTTTAAATAATGCTATTGTAGATCAAAGTGGTACGACATTTTTGTAATGTCATCTGATACTTGTTGATTGATCAAATGACCATATTTTAAATAAAGATACTTATAAAGTTAAATTAATTATGCAGATCCAATTCTTGGAGTTAAACACTTAAGCAATATAAGAAATTATCGTTCAGCCCGATAGGTTCATGCAGATTTTCTTTGTTAATCATCCTGTATAAATACAAAGTATAAATGCATAATAACAAAGAATTAATATGTGATAATTAAAAAAATTTATTAAACACCACCATGAAAATACATTCGTACATTCGAAGCGATTTGCACCTGTATAAACAAATACATATAACAAAAATATCTATCTAGTAATACAATAACTGTTTATAAAAATGACTAGATACATTGTAATTCAATCGATGTTAAAATTTTTTCTATTAAGTATACACGTCCTACTTTTAACGAGTTCTGCGCCCAATATTTGCCCAAAATACGTGAACTCGGACATAATGCACCAACTTTACTTCATCCTAAAGATAGTCCGTAGCTGTAACGAATCTTCAATTTTATATTACATCTTCTTCAATCTTATTGCAGATAATAAAATCTTGTACCAATAGCACCAGTACATCCACGTGATAGGTATTCTGCGCCTTCCGCGCCTCATAAACTTTGTCCGGCTAAATTCTACCCGCGGATCTTCAAATCATTTATTGCCGCAGGTAATTTACATTGGCTAAATTTATGCCGATATGACTGTTTTAAAATTTTCCAATATAAATCTAAATACTAACAAACAACTAATTAAATCCTATCCAAACTATCTAAACTAGTAAGAAAGTAAGAAAAAATTACCATTCCTTTAGTCCTTTACTTTTTTTCTTAAATCCTCTATATTTTTCTGAATTAAATTATTAAAAAATTGCAAATTAATTTTTATAAATCGAAAACCTTAAGTGAGAGAACTTCGTTAGCTTGTCAAGATAAAAAATATGATATAAGCACAAAAACTTTGTCAAGAGAAATAATTTTTCGGATTTATATTAATTATATTATTTAGTACAACAAAATACTTCGTTCTACTCAATGATCTTGCGATGCATACACAATTATTTCACATAGTAAAGATGATTTATATTTTTATATTCATTTGAAACAGTAATTTAGAGGTACATTATATAAATAATTCCATAACTAATAACAACATCTTTATTAAATAACTGATACATAGTTATTACTAAATAAATCTGCAAACACTAAATATGTTAAAAAGCATGTTTATTCATCACATAAATTTTCTTCGCGGTAGTTTCGTAAAATTATTGTTCACATAACGAGATTTCTTGATACCTTCATATTTTCTATCTTGTGAAATATAAAGTATTTATTACAAGGTTTCTTTTCCCTGATATGCCATAAACTTTCGTCAACGTTTCTGTTTCTAAATTATAGTAATTGTTCAAATACTTCATTTGAAGCAACTATATTTTTAAAGTCAATATAATAAAATATAATTGTTCTTAAAGTATTTATTCAGTCTTCAAACGATATCTCTCTTCTCTCACTCAATAATAACTATCTAATATTATATAGTACAGCTTTATATTTACTTTTCGCTTGGTAATAAAGAGTTATGCGATCAGATGGTGTTATTGTCATACATCAGAGAAACTAAATGTGAAATGCGAGGTATGTCAAGACACAAAAAGATAAATATTGAAGTTTTCATTTTCTTAATATAGTGTTGTGATCCGTCATTCGGATGGTTATCCGGATCATCCGTTATTTACAGATGGTTTTTAATGTCAATTTTGACTTATTTAGCAGATTTTTGTTTTCTTCTGTTTTCCCGCTAAATTTAATTCTGCCCAACATTAAATAGAAAATTTTCTTTTTTGGAAACCCGTGTTTAAACACAAATAGAAATAGACATTATAAGTCCATTTTTAATGATTATTAATTCAATTTTTTATATATCTGATATTATAAAATAAAAACTTAATTTAATCTTGGTCACCAGTTGTTGAGAAAATAACGAAAAATAGTATAAGATTGGAATTTAGTATATATTCGTTATAAACGAATGATATTTTTATAAACTAACAATAATTTTTTTTTATAAATATGTTAAATAGTAATTTAATGTATTTTATCCATTCATTTTTGTAAGAACATGTAATTACTTCCTTTTAATTAAATCACGTGAACGGCAAATTTTATCATTACACAGTACACAATGTATTTTTAAAGGAATTTCTCAACGCAGATCAGTGCATCGGAAAAATTATGGCCCGAAAATATTTTTTTTATTGTAACTTCTACTTTTAGTTAAAGTATTCCTTTTAAGTAACCTAATTCATGAAATATTGAAAAAATTTTCGTCTAAAAAATATTTGTCTAGAAAAATAATAATTTTTTTAGTAAAATAAATTTCTAAAATAAAAACAAATGGAAACCAAATTTAGTAAATCTAATATCTCAGTTACTGATATAGTAAACACCAAAAATTGTTTATATTGCAATAAACCCTTTACTGAAGAATTATGGTGTAAAGAATGTATTAATTCTTTAGAAAAATCAGCAGAAAATGGTAATAAAGTAGCAATATTTAATTTAGCTAAAAGGTATTACAATGGGGAAGGAACAGAAAAGAATTTAGAAAAAGCCTTTTATTGGTATCAAAAAGCAGCAGAAAATGGTTTCACTAATTCAATGCATAATTTAGCCATTTGTTATGACAATGGAGAAGGAACAGAAAAGAATTTAGAAAAAGCCTTTTATTGGTATCAAAAAGCAGCAGAAAATGGTTTCACTAATTCAATGCATAATTTAGCCTTTTGTTATGACAATGGAGAAGGAACAGAAAAGAATTTAGAAAAAGCCTTTTATTGGTATCAAAAAGCAGCAGAAAATGGTTTCACTAATTCAATGCATAATTTAGCCTTTCGTTATTACAATGGAGAAGGAACAGAAAAGAATTTAGAAAAAGCCTTTTATTGGTATCAAAAAGCAGCAGAAAATGGTTTCACTAATTCAATGCATAATTTAGCCTTTTGTTATGAAAATGGAGAAGGAACAGAAAAGAATTTAGAAAAAGCCTTTTATTGGTATCAAAAAGCAGCAGAAAATGGTTTCACTAATTCAATGCATAATTTAGCCTTTTGTTATGAAAATGGAGAAGGAACAGAAAAGAATTTAGAAAAAGCCTTTTATTGGTATCAAAAAGCAGCAGAAAATGGTTTCACTAATTCAATGCATAATTTAGCCTTTTGTTATGAAAATGGAGAAGGAACAGAAAAGAATTTAGAAAAAGCCTTTTATTGGCGTAAAAAAGCAACAGAAAGTAATAATGAAGTAGATTTTAATTTATGTAATGAATGTGAGCAACCATATTATGATTACCAGTGGTGTCAACAATGTAATGTCAAACAATTTCAACAAGATTTTTCAAAGTGGACCAGTAAAAATGAATTTATTGATAAATTTATTCAAGAAGCACAACTAAATGCCAAAAATAGTTATGAAATTTTAGAATGGATACCTTATAATAAATTGACAAATATAAATTATAATGATAAAGGAGGATTTAGTGAAATTCATAAAGCTATCTGGTTAGATGGTCCTATTTTTAGTTGGAATTTTGACAAACAACAATGGAATAGACAATTAGGTTATGAGGTTATTCTTAAAACACTTAATAATTCATCAAGTTTAAATAGTAAATTTCTGGATGAGGTATATATATTATTTATATTTATTAGCAATTTTTTTTTCTTTTACAAAAATTAATTTTGTTTTATTATTTATACAGTGGAAATATCATTATAATTGTCAGAAAAATTCATTTTCAAAATTTATTCAATTTTTTGGATGTACCCAAAATCCAAATAATTTAAATTATATAATAGTAATGAGTTATGCAAAAAAAGGAAGTTTAAGAAAATGTTTATCTGATATAATTAAATTTAAATGGCAAGAAAAGTTACAATTATTGAAAAAAATTGTATTAGGGCTCAAAGTAATTCATGAATCAAATTTAACTCATGGTGATTTTCATGATGGTAATATTTTAATATCAGATAATTACAATGAGTTATTTATTATTGATTTAGGATTATGTAAACCTATAAATAATTTACAAGATTCTGACAATAAAATTAAAGAAATTTATGGAGTTTTACCTTATATGGCACCTGAAACATTAAGACAAAAACCCTATACACCAGCAAGTGATATTTATAGTTTTTCAATGATAATGTGGGAATTTACATCAGGTATTCCTCCATTTAATCGTGTAGCACATGATCATCACCTTATTTTGAGTGTCTGTGAAGGGAAACGCCCTGAAATTGTTGAAAATACTCCAAAATGTTATATAGATTTAATGAAAAAATGTTGGGATTCAGATCCTTCCAATAGACCAACCATAACAATGCTCGAAGTTATTATATCTGAGTGGATTAGATGTATTAATGAATATTATAGAATAAACAGGGATGGAAATTATAAATTTGTAGTATCTAATATAGATAATAAATTAAAAGATGATATGTTTGAATTTATAAAAGCAAACAAAACTTTAGTACAAGAACAAGCAAATGCTTCTATTATACAATCACATACACAAGCATATTATACAAGTCGTAAATTTACTGAAATCTTAAATACTGGTTGTCTTGAATGTGAAGTTAATATTTAATAATTCTGTTGTTTATTCTTTATTTGTTAGGCTATTTGTCAGTTGTTATATTGCAATTTTTACTAAAATAAATATTTTAAATGCAGATATAATAATTATCAAAATAATCTTTATTATAATTTTTATTTTTTAATTGAAATTTGTTATGTTTAATATTCATATCCATACTTTAAGATTAAGAACTTACCAGTATTATTTATTGCTTAAAAAAATATTATAATTATATTTTATAGAATATGGATTCTTAAAATATAATCATAAAATTCATTTATTGAAGTTGTATCATCGATGCCATCTTTTAAAATAGCTTGGATTATTACTTATTTCTATTTCCTTTTTAATTAAGATATTTATTGTAAACAAATAGGTTAATATATATTTACTTGGTGAAACTATATTTGGCCAATCCCATTAAAAACGAAATATCTGATATTTGTATTTTTTTTTTATCTAACTTTGTCTAAATTTTGCGTAAAAATTCATTATATTGTGTTTAAATAACTATTTAGCTGTAATCGTATTATATAATTTCCTTTTAATTTCTTGTCAATTTAAATCATCTTTTTTGTCATCATTTGTTTTATCATGAGAAATCTAAAGTCAAAGAATGATGAGACCTATTAAACAATTCGTATATTATTACATATATTTTTCAATAATAATGGTTTATGTGACGAAAGCCTGAAAGGCCTTAATAAAAATATATTACTTGTGTAATATTTGCATTACCATCACTACTTTGTGCTCTGGCTATAGATTAATGTTGCACTCCGATTTGATCAAAAAAATTAAATATATGAGATAAAATATATAGAATAAAAAATATATGGGATAAAAAATATATAAAATAAAAAATATGGGATAAAAAAATAATATATAGGGATAAAATATATGAAAGCAAAATATATAAAAAAAAAAATAATATATGAAATTTTTATCTATTTCATGTTAATGAATTTTATTATAAATTTGCAAACAATACATGACAATCATTAGTTTAATATATTCATTAAGTGTGTTTTATTATTTATATATTTAATCCTTGTAACTGTATTGCACTTCATGGGTAGGGCTTTGTGACGTATTTGTATTTTCATATATTATGTACGTAGATCACTTACATTGAATAAAGCGTTTGGAACAAAACAACTTTAATTAATCAGTTGTAATAATTTATAAATATTATATATGATTATTCATTTTTATAACTAATCAATATTCTTAATAAATTTATCGACGCTAATAAGTAAATCATTATAACTTCGAACTCCAATATTATATAACTTGAATTCCACCACTTCATCTCTAAAATCAGACAATTGATTATTATTATTAATATCCATAATAGCCAAATATTTAACTCTTTCTCCCTTCATAATATATTCCTTTATATAATGTGAAATATCATCACTACCTATTTGTAGTTTTATTAATAATTTATTAATAAAAACATCTTGAGAATTTTCTAAGAATGCCCTAAAATCACTTTCTTTAACTTTAAGTTCCAAACTTAGGTATTCCAATTTAGAGGGGAGGGCTTGTCCTAGATTCTTTAATATGATTGAACTATCATTTGTTGAATGATTATCTTCCAGTATATTGATTGAAAGATGATTAAGAGCTTGTTTAATATTTTCAATTAAATCCAATATTTCATAAGTAATCTGGTATCTAAATTCACATATTTCACATAAATCAAGAAATTTGATATTCTTACAATACTTTATAATTAATCCTAACAATACTTGTCTTGATGATAGTCCATAACTAAATCCCAAACCGAAATTTTCCAAATAATCACCAGATTTTAGTAATAATTGTTGCAATGATTCAAATTGTATTTTAATTAAAATTAAAGATTTCAATTTAAATGGTTTTGATAAATTAATAATTTGTTCCAAAGATGAACAATTAATAATATGAACAGTTTCTAATACATTTAATTGTCCAAATACTTTATCAAGATTGATTATTTTCCTGAAATCGACATAATAGAAAGTAATTGTATTCAAGGTATTTGAACAATTATAATCTTTTGATAATAATAATGATTGATATAAAGATGTATAATTATTACATATTAAAATTTTCTTAAGATTTTGATGTAAATGAGTTATTTGTAATATATGATCCATATTTTCATCATAATTTTTGATATAAAGCTTCAAATTTCCAATATTGTGAATAAAATTTTGATTTTGTAAAATTAATTCAAGGATTTCATTAAAATATGTGCTATAATAAGTACCTGAGATCTCAATTTCAAGAGTATGTAATTTTATTTCATTTTCAATAAAAATTTTAAATATTAACTTAGATACTGAATCAAAATGTTTAAAAAGATAACTAATTTCGAATGTTGAATTCCTAATAACATAATCAACCCACTTATCAATAGAAGTGATAAATTTATATGTATTCAAATATTTTAAAAAACTAGGATAATTGAACAGTGTATTTGTAGATAATGAATTATTAAAAATTTTATATTCATTTAATATTGTTATAAAATCATTATTTAAATTACATAAGTAAATTTCAATAAAATCATTGTTTTCAGTACAAATTGAAAATGGATTTTCCCATAATAATGGAATTGTTAAACGACACCATAATCTATTAACTAAAATGCATGAATATAAAGTTGAATAATCATTCTGAAAATATTTTATAACTTCATATGTTAATTCAGGTAAATCTCCTGAAAATATTTTTGAACATGACATATTGGAGGGAAGTATCAAATTTTTATTATTATACCGAACTGGGTAATTTATATGTGATATTATCGCACAATTCATGTCGATTAATTGTGTGCAACATGTTTCAATAATTAGGCGCAGTTCTATGGAACGTTACAATTGAACCAAATATTTTTGATTTTACATCCAAAACTGGCAATTAATAGGTGATCAATTTTATTAAATAGATTGGTAAAGATTTTTGAAAGATGTGTTAATTGTGTTATGTAATATTTTTATGAAAGAATTTTTTTTTTTATTTTTATATTTTTATTTTAGAAAGTAGACAGAATGATTAACGCCCACCCACATGATAAGAGGAATGAACAACTCAATGTTTTTTGTTTTTCAAAGTAATTAAGCATAACCATGTGACAGGGGTGTAAACTTACGTAAATTTGTGTAAGTATACGTAAGCTTGTGTAAGTTTTGTAAATTACTTATGAAAATTTACGTAATTTGTGTAAAACTTACATTGGATTACACCCTCATCGCAGGACTATGTCTAAGATAATTTCCGGATGCAGAAGAATAAGAAGTAACAAGTATGTATTAATAATTTGTACTACAATATATATATATGTGTATATCTTTCATATATTATTAAAGTTGTGATTTTTGAGATAGAACAATTTTTACACATTTTTAAAAACTGAATTATTAAAAAAAAACTGGTTGACATGCATTTTCTACTCTATTTTTATTTTAATTTCTAAATCAATTATCAATGAAAAAAATATATTAATTATTTTGCTTATTTTTATACTATTTCTACTATCAAATCCTTTTTTTATTTTCTCAATTTATATATATATATATGATTATTTTTAATCACGTGAATGCTATGTCGTAATTTTTTTCAAAAAGTCATTCAAAAGTCATCAAAGTCAATAAGAATTTACTATTATGTGGTGATTTATGATTTTATTATAAATGAAATAAATAAAAAAATTGTTATACATATTTTTTGTTGAAACGCAACAAGAGATATTACAAAAATTAACTGAGATTTTTTTTTTTTCAAAGTTACGTTAATTCATGTCGATCACGCAACACAAATAAAATCAACGATCATGATGCTATTTTTTCTATATTTACGCTCGTTTTTAGCATTTTTATAAAGATTTTAATAAGTTATGTACAAGATAAATAAACCAAATTGATAAAAAATTCGAATATATTATATTAAGTTAAACTTTAATTATATTTGTTTTCAAGTTTCCAAAATGTAATTCAATTAGATAATTTTATAAAATCAATCATAATATTATAAAGTAAGCTTTATATACATTATTTATATATATATATTAACAACCTACTATATTTAATTTAATTTTATTTTTTTTTTGTTCTTACGGCAACAAATATAAAATATTTGTTATTAAATTGTTTAATAAAAAATTTATACATATATATACATATATATAATGTATTGAGAATACTAATTATTGTGGCTTTAATATATTATCCAAGTCATTTTAAAAAATTATTACTAATCATATGTAATACTTAAATTAGCTTATCTTTTTTGGATTTTTGTGTTCATGATTTACATATATATAATGGTTACAATATGATATTATTAATAAATTTTTTTTTTTTTTTGAGCTTTTATATAATGTCTTCTAAAAAAAATCCATCAAACATTCTGACATATATAGAAAATAATCTTATATGTTGGACAAGTGGAAATGAAAAAATTGATAACTTTGTCCGGAAAATGCAATTAAAAATCAATAACGATAATGAAATAGTATTTGAATGGATACTATACAATCAGTTTAATGAAATCAAAGAGATAGGCAAAAATGGCCCTATAACAGTATATTCAGCAAAATGGAAGGATGGTCCATTATATAAAAAAATTGATACATGGGATAATAAAAGTTATGTAAGAGATTCAAATAAAAAAGTTGCTTTAAAATGCTTACATAACTCACAAAAATTTATTGATTCTATAATAAATGAGGTATAAAATTACTTTTAAAATATTTAAGTAATTTTTTTTAAAACTAGTAAATTTACAATCTCTTTTATTTATATTTAGGCTAAAAAATATTCAATAAATCATGAAGCATTACAAACGTTGTATGGAATTTCTCAAAATCCAGATACAGGAGATTATATATTGGTTCAAAATAATTATATATGGGATAGTAAAAATGAAAAAATTGATGATTTCATTCAAGAAAAACAATTCAAAATTAACAATTATAATGATGAAGTGCTTGAATGGATACCATACAATCAGTTTAATGAAATTAAATTAATAGGCACAAATGGTCCTATAACAGTATATTCAGCAATATGGAAGGATGGTCCATTACATAAAAAGGATAAACGGAATTATTATACAAGAGACTCAAATAAAGAAGTTGCTTTAAAATGCTTACATAAATCACAAGAATCTGTTGATTCTTTAATAAATAAGGTATGGAATTTCCTAAATATTTGGATACTTTTTTTAATTGATATATTTACAATCATTTTTATTTAGGCTAAAAAGTATCCAACAAAACATGAAGCATTTGAAGCATTTCAAGTATTGTATGGAATTTCTCAAAATCCAGATACAGGAGATTATATTTTGGTTCTTACCTGGACAAGTGGAAATGAAAAAATCGATGATTTCATCAAAGAAAGGCAATTAGAAATTAATGACCATGATATTATGCTTAAATGGATACCATACAATCAGTTTAATAACATTAAAGAAACATGCAAAAATAGCCTTATAACATTGTATTCAGCAATATGGACGGATGGTCCATTATACAAAAAGAATGAATGGAATTATTATACAAGAGATTCAAATAAAGAAGTTGCTTTAAAATGTTTACATAAATCACAAGAATCCATTGTTACTTTAATAGATGAGGTATAAAATTCCTTCAAATATTTTTTTAAATATTTAAATACTTTTTTTTAACTAATATATTTACAATCTTTTTTATTTATATTTAGGCTAAAAAATATTCAACAAATAATGAAGCATTTCAAGTATTGTATGGAATTTCTCAAAATCCAAATACAGGAAATTATATTTTGGTTCAAAATAATTCTATAAAATTGGCAAATTGGATCAGTGGAAATGAAATATTTGATGACTTCATTCAAGAAATGCAATTAAAAATCAATAACAGAGATGATTTAGTATTTGAGTGGATACCATATGATCAGTTTAATGAAATTAAAGAAACAGTCACAAATGGCCTTATAACAATATATTTAGCTATATGGAAAGATGGGCCATTAAAGAAGAATTGGTCGGATGAAGATAATTGGTCGGATGAAAACTATCTAAGGGATTCAAATAGAGAAGTTTCTTTAAAATGTTTACATAACTCACAAGAATCTATTAATTCAATAATAAATGAGGTATGAAATTCCTTTAATATTTAAATACTTTTTTTTTTAATTAGTTTTGCTTATAATATATATTATTATATTTAGATTAAAAAATATCCAACAAATCATGAAGCATTTCAAATACTATATGGAATATCACAAAATCCAGTTACAGGAGATTATATTTTGGTTCAAAATAATTATATATGGAATAGTGAAAATGAAAAAATTAATGATTTCATTCGAGAAAGGCAATTAATATTTGACTTTAATGGTGTAATGCTTGAATGGGTACCATACAATCAGTTTAATGAAATTAAAGAAACAGGTAAAAATGACCTTATAACAACGGTATATTCAGCAATATGGAAGGACGGTCCATTGCAGTATTTTAGATATAAAAGAGATTCAAATAAAGTAGTTGCTTTAAAATATTTATATAATTCACAAGAATCCATTGATTGGATAATCAATGAGGTATAAATTTCTTCAAATATTGATACTTTTTCTTTTTAATTAGTATATTTACAATAACTTTTATTATTTATATTTAGGCTAAAAAGTATCCAACAAATCATAAAGCACTACATTTAACATCGTACGAAATATTACAAATAGTATTGTATGGAATATCTCAAAATCCAGTTACTGGAGATTATATTTTTGTTCTTAACTGGACAAGTGGAAATGAAAAAATTGATGATTTTATTCAAAAAGAGCGATTAAAAATTAATTCCCGCCATGATGGTTGTGATGGTGATGTAGTATTTGAATGGATACCATACAATCAGTTTTTTGAAATTAAAGAAACAAACACAAATAGTTTTATAACAGTGTATTCAGCAATATGGAAGAATGGTCCATTGTGTTTTAATTATGATATGTATGCAAGAAGTTCAGATAAGGAAGTTGCATTAAAATGTTTACATAATTCACAAAATTCCATTGATTATTTAATAAACGAAGTATGAATTTTCTTTAATATTTGGATACTTTTTTTAATTAGTATACTTACAATCTCTTTTATTTATATTTAGGCTAAAAAATATCCAACAAATCATAAAGTATTTCAAGTATTATATGGAATTTCTCAAAATCCAGATACAGGAAATTATATTTTAGTTCAAGATAATTCTATAAACATGTTAAATTGGTTCAGTGGAAATGAAAAAGTTGATGAATTTATTCAAGAAAAACAATTAAAAATTAATAACGATTATGATATAGTGCCTGAATGGATACCATACAATCAGTTTTTTGAAATTAAAGAGACAAAAACAAATGGTCTTATAACAGTGTATTCAGCAATATGGAAGAATGGTCCATTGTGTTGTAATTATAATGCAAGAAGGTCAGATAAGGAAGTTTCATTAAGATATTTACATAATTCACAAGAATCCATTGATTATTTAATAAATGAGGTATAAATTTTCTTTAATACTTGGATACTTTTTTTAATTAGTATATTTATAATCTCTTTTTATTAATATTTAGGCTAAAAAATATCCAACAAATAATAAAGAATTTCAAGTATTATATGGAATATCTCAAAATCCAGATACAGGAAATTATATTTTAGTTCAAGATAATTCTACAAACATGTTAAATTGGATCAGTGGAAATGATAAAATTGATGA